TGTTACCAGCTAGTGGGCCACATACAATAATTCTAACTTGTTTAAAAATGTATCATTTATTCACAGTTTGCTGAGTGCATCTTGCTTGGTTGTTCAGTGTCATTTGACAATTCATGCTTAAGCATGAATGCCACAAGAGAGCAGATTGCTGTTTGTCTTCTTCAGAATACAGGTGTTACAGTCCCAGACCAAATGTCGGGAGCAACGCAACATAAGAAAAAGCCACAGACTTCGGTCTAACAATAATTTATTAACAATTCTTCACAATCAAAACATTGACGGTTGCAAAACACACAATCACAAAAAAAAGAAGAAGAGCCCTACCCTTACTTCCTAAGAAGTATAAACCATTTGCCTACCTCCCGACCAAGGTCCAAAAGTAGACAACCAAATAGGTGAGTCTTCCGAAAACTAACTTATTACACTAACTGATCCTAAACCAAAAGTGCAAAAAGGTTGGCAACCCATCAAAAGCAGCATATCCAAAAAAAAAACAACTTAACAATAAGCAATACAAAAAAAATATTAATTAAAAAAAAAGGTGCCAGCATATCAGCCAGGGGTAAAGTCAAGGTCAGACATCTTGAAATGAAGGTGGTCTTTATAGGCAGGATGGCTGGCCCCAGCCATGACCTAATCCAATCACCAAGGTCCAATCACCACCTACAGGACAAATCCAAACACACACGAAAACAACTCAACCCCATAACAACAGGTTAGACTTCTTATTAGGATTTTTTACCATAATTATTTGTGAAGCGGCTGGAGGCAAATGCATGTTACTGTGTTCACTCTACTCTGCAATTCAAAATTGTATTTGTCATGTAAAAATTGCTGATCATTGTGAACTTGACGATGTTATACACTTTTTTTTTGTAGAAGACACTGACCTGTGTCATTTCTGCGGGGAGCAGGCTGGTGACACTAATTGGGTAAGTGGTTATGTTTAACATGGTCCTTCTCCAAAAATATGTGGCTTTAAGACACTTAAAATTTGAGTTTTCACTTAAAAGTATGGCTTTTCAAGAAGCCATAAAATCTTGTGAAATTACACAGTAAATGTAAATTAGTTTGAAAACATCCAGGTGTTAAGTTGAGTGATTATGAACAATTTTGAATACTGTCGGGTGACTTTGTCAATATTTTTTTCTTTTTTCTTTTGTCTATACAGATTGGCTGTGACATTTGTCCAAGATGGTACCACAGGGGCTGTATCAACAAACCTAGAAAAAAGCAGTTCATTTGTGAGGCCTGCCAGTAAAATCTATTCTTCACCCTGGTGTCTTGTAAATATATTAGTTCTTTTTGCATGTATATAGTTTTTTATATTTTGGTCTTACAAGCATCTGTTTTTATTTTAGCACTAAGTATTGAAAAATAAACACGTTGAAAGTAATACAAAGTTCTGTTTTGATTTGTATTTTTTTGCATCTATGTTTTTTGGGGAAATATTAAAAAAACCCTATGTCCAACCACATTTATCGAAGATAAGAACACTCCTAAACTTATTAAGAAATCTAATCATGTAAATACAACCCAGAAGAGTGTAAAACAATTAAAGTCAGACAGAAAGAGCCATTCAGTAAAGAGATATTGAGTGTAATCACTTTTTGGCAATGGGTGAACTACATTACACTGGTCCTATATAGAGGTGTTTAAAGTCATAAAAATGGGTTAGTTGTTTACTAATCATGTACATACAACCCAGAAGAGTGTAAAACAATTAAAGTCAGGCAGAAAGAGCCATTCAGTAAAGAGATATTGAGTGTAATCACTTTTTGGCAATGGGTGAACTGCACTGTACTGGTTATACTGGTCCTATAGAGGCGTTTAAAGTGGTAAAAAGGACTGGATAGTTGATAATGCTGCACAGAGTAGGAAAAATCCACTGACTCTTTAATATGACTGCAAGATGAAGAATTGTCTTTATTTAATAAGTAATCCACATCGGTTGTGTAGTGAAACTCATTTAGACGTAGGAACATTTATAAACATATGTCTACATTAATGTGTCGCATTTGAACTTCCATGGCTTCATGACATAAAGTTACAGTTTTACAATGCAGTTATGACCGAGGACTGCTTTAAAGCGTTTTACATGATAATGGCTTCCTTTAACTCTTATTGCAATTATTTATTTAAAAATTCACCAAACCCTTAAACAAAGACATACCTTCGCTGTTATCTCGGGGATACTTGTACTGTATACCTTTTGCACTTTAAGAAATTACCCGCCTTAGTCGCACAGAAACTGCGATGCATCCTGAACAGGCTGTGCGCGCTCCCGCGGATCGTAATCAGTTTCTGGCAGACAGTCACTTTTTGGCACAACACCTGTTACCAAGTAATTGGTTTTCCATTATATCTTATGGGGAAAATTCCATTCGGAACTCTAAATTTTTAGAATTCGAACCTGAGTTCTGAACGGATTAAGTTAGAGTTCTGAGGTACCACTGTATGTTGGATTGCATAGTAATTATATTGAACAAAAACAAGTGATTTGTTGGCACTGCTTTGTACGGTCTTTGCACAACTTGCGGCAACAAGTATAAGAGAATGATTATGCTGTTCTCGTTAATTTTATATATATATATACACACTCACCAAAAGGATTATTAGGAACACCATACTAATACGGTGTTTGACCCCCTTTCGCCTTTAGAACTGCCTTAATTCTACGTGGCATTGATTCAACAAGGTGCTGAAAGCATTCTTTAGAAATGTTGCCCCATATTGATAGGATAGCATCTTGCAGTTGATGGAGATTTGTGGGATGCACATCCAGGGCACGAA